AGATGACAAAAGAAAATGACTAATGATAGCTTAGGAAGTTTTAGATTGTATTTTGATAGTTCTCTATGTTATCTTGAAATGACATTCCGTGTGCCTATACCTTAATTTGAAAAGCTAGTCTTTCATTATAACACTGAATTCAACAAGAGTTCTTTAGAAGATTTAAAGCAGTAAGAGAGTAAATAGAGGAACATTCTGACAAGTTTGGAAGTGACCCCTTTAAAAAACAGGATGGACTTCCAAATTTGCTGATTTATTAATTGAACATTTATTGGATGCTTCTGCACCAGACACAGCACAAAGATGAACAGATTTCTGGCCAGTCTGTGGCTATACAAGACTGATGTTTATTGACCAGGCTGGTTTAAAACTCGTTCTGGTGGTTATTTGTTATTACAGCTACAGAATAGTCAGTCTTAGGTATGTGAGAATTTCTTTTTATTCTCAATATGTATCAAAAGTTGCAAAAATAGTACACAGAAATCCTGTGTACCCTTCAGTCAGCTTCGCTAAATGTTAAAATCTTACTTAAACATAGTCCAGATATTGAAACCAGGAACTTAACATTGATACAATACTATTAACTAATCTACAGACGTCATCAAATTTCACAGTTGTCCCTTCTCTGGCCCAGGATCCAGATCAGAGCACCATGTGTCTCAGTGTCCTGTTGCCTTCTCTAATCTGGGACAAGTCCTCAGGCTGTCTTTGTCTTTGATGACCTTGACCCTTTTGAAGAACACTGGCTGGTTGTACCGTGTTCCCCAATTTGGGTTTGTCTGTTTTTTTTTTTGTTTTTTTTTCATGATTATATTGAGCTTATGCATTTGGGGAAGAGCACCACAGCCAAGGTGTTGATTTTCTCACTGCATTTTAGCAGGAAGTCTTCGATGATGCTATGACTCATTTTACTGGCGGTTTTAACTTGGATCGTTTGATGTAAGGTGGTGGCCAGGTTTCTCTGTTATAAAGTTATTATTTTCCCCTTTGTAGTTAAGTAATATCTTCTGGGGAAGTACAGAGACTGTGCATATACTCTGTTTCTCATTGTATTTTCACCCACTAATCTCAGCATCATTGGTGATTCTTTTTTGCAGTATTCATTACTGTAATTTTTACCAAATGGTGAGTTTCTGTTTCTACCCTTCCTTCTAGGGTTTTTAAATTGGAAGTCTATTGTAAGAAAGAGCTGTCCACACCACATTGTTTATGAGGGTCATCTGTGTAGTTCTGTGAAATTGTACTTTTGTTCATTTCACTACTTACAGTCTGGCCAGCTAATCCTTCTCCTATCAGGGTTATGAGATCTTCATCCAGCTCAACTTTTCAAAAACATTGCCTGCCCCTCCCCATCAGTAGTCCGTTAGCACGTGGGTATCCTGGTGCTCATAGTTGGAGGTGAGACTGAGGAAGTTAGTTGTTGGTGGCATTAATGTTAATATATTACTTAGTGGAAGCAAAAGGATGGTTTTATTTGGGGCATGTTGTAGTTAGCTGCTGCTCAGAAATCCATGGAGTGGCCTAGAGCAGAGACGTGGAAATGTGTCAGGACACAGCCAGGCTCTTAGAAGAGCAGCAGAAGTATGAGGAAGACGGTGAGTTTCACGGAGGAGAAGGGAGTGGCGTTGCTGGTGCGAGCGGGCGGATAGGCTGTGGGCTTCAGGTGCTGCGGTTTAAGGACTGGGGTGAGGTGTTTGGACTGGAATTAAAGTGGGAGGCCTTGAGCAAAGTTTCCGTAGGGTTGTGAGGGGGAATATGCTAGACGGTAGTGGGCTGAAGCAGGGACCAAAACCCTTAACATGATCTAAAGACCTTGCCCACCCCCATGACCAAGATCAACTTACATTCCTCTCTGTTTCTAAGCACAGGTGCCTTCTCTTAGTTTCATTCTGCCTCTGGGCATTCAGGCATGTTGAAGTGGAATCCCAGGCCTGCCTCCTAATAGCTGTGGCACCTAATTCCCAAAATTCGTTTCTCCCCCATCTATGAAAATTGGGTGAAATAGTAACCTGGTCACTATTTCCGGCCAGTCCCCTCCTGGCCTCCCTTTGGTGCCTGTTGTCTGCCCTACCTAGTACCACCTGGCTAGGCCTCAGTAATGTGATGTTACTGCGCTGGCCATGGTGCCCCTGGTGCTTCCTTTCTCACTGGGATGAGCATCACCACCATGATGAGCAGAGGGTCCTGTGAGATCTGCAGGCTCCTGATCCCACGCCCCCCGGAAGCCCTGTTACTCACTGCCCTCGGTCAGTGGCTATAGCTGCATTTGCCCCCAAGCACCCTCTGGCCTCAGGGCCTTTACACATCCCCCCCCCCGCACGTAACTGCATAACTCCCTTCCTTTAGATCTTCCTTCAGGTATCACTGAGTCAGAGTGACCTTCACCAGTTCCCTTTATAAAATAGTACTTCATCATTTGTTACTCCCCTTATTTGCCTTTATCACATTACCTACCACCTCAAAGATACTTATGTGTTTGCTGTCTGGCTTCCATCACAAAAGTAGAGACTCTTTGAAGGCTGGTACTTCGTGCCTGTTTTACTCACTAATGTCTTCCCAGCCTCTCGAATTGTGCCTGTAGGTGGTTAGTGCCGAAGTAAATCTTCGTTGAGTAATGACTGATGAGGTAGATAAACCGTCAAGATGGTTGTGATGGTGTGCAGTGACAGCTCATTCACTTCTCCTGGCGTCCTGATGAGGAAATTGAGGCACAGAGAGGTGATGGCAGACAGTGAACGAGTGATGGAGCCAGAATTCAGGCGCAGGCGGTCTTGATCCAGAGCCCACATTCTCTCTGCATCTGTGGGGGTTGTTGCTGATGAAAAGAAGTCATCTGGTTAAAATGCTGATCACTATTTCTGTCATATCCTGAGTGGTCCCTAAACGTTAGTTGATGTCATCATCAGGATGCTGGATGCTAAGAGTGTGGAGGTGGAGCCAGGCTGCCAAATGTTTGACTTTTGGACCAGTTTTTTTTTTTTTTTTTTTTTAAACCATTAAAATGCAGTAACATTAATACCAAAGCCTCCTGCAGCCTGTTTGATCCTGGAGCTTCCAGCCTGGGAACTGGTTGCTTGCTTTTGCCAGCATTGTTCACCTGGTCTGCTGAATGTAAATAAGTACACTTTTGTTCTTTGATTATTATGTTGATTAAGAGAAATGGTTCGTATAAGGTGCCTGGTTGTGCTTCTACAAGTAGTTGCCCAGTGTGAAACATCTGCAGTGAGTTATGGGAACTCCTTCAGAGGGCAGAGGTACAACGGAACCGCATTGTTTGGCCATTGTGTCTTTTAATAAGACGGACACTTAAAAATCTCAGCAGAACCTGTGTATGTGTATCTTGCATTTTTTCTACCCTTAATTGAACCAAAAGAATTGTACTGATTACTTTGCGTTGTTTTCCCTGTGAGCCTAATACATTTTTAAAAGAGCAGTTTATGAAACTTGTAGAAACAATTCGTATCTTTATAACCTTTGTGTAGGCAAATATTTTATAAACAAAACACTAAGATAATTTATTAAAAAGAAAAGGAATAAATAGGACTGCATAAAAATCACAAACTTTCTTCCTCAAAAGGTACTGTTAAAATAAAAAGATTTTAAAAATAATTTTTAAAAGGTACCATTAAAATAGTGAAAGGCAAGCCGTAGAGTGGGAGAGGATATTCACTAAGTCTAACAAAGGCCTTACGTCCAGAACATGTAAAGAATACCTACAGGGCTTCCCTGGTGCAGTGGTTGAGAGTCCGCCTGCCGATGCAGGGGACACGGGTTTGTGCCCCGGTCTGGGAAGATCCCACGTGCCGCGGAGTGGCTGGGCCCGTGAGCCATGGCCGCTGAGCCTGTGCGTCCGGAGCCTGTGTTCCACAACGGGAGAGGCCACAACGGTGAGAGGCCCACGTACTGCAAAAAAAAAAAAAAAGAATACCTACAAATCAGTGGTGGGGTGGGGGTGGGGGGACGAGTCAGTAAAAAAGGGACAAAAGCTTTAACAGACACTTCACAAAAGAAGATAACCAAAAATGGTCAATTATCAAATGAAGAAGTGCCCATTTGTGTTACTCATCAAGGAAGTACTAATTAAAACCACTGTGTACTCTTGCTGTAAATATCAGAGGTCCTAAAATGAAAAGGTTAGAAGTACCAAGTAGAGGTGAGGAATAGTGGAACCAGAGCGCGCCGTGCTGCTTGTGGGAGTGTACATTGGTACAGCTCTTCACCTTACTCTTTGGTCACATCTGCGCTGCCTAATGTGTGTGTTCGTTAGGATCCAGTGATGATGCCCCTGGTCTGCATCCAGCAGAGATGTGTACATATGTTCACCAAAAGGCATGCGTGTGAGAGTTCATACGGGTGGACACACACATACACAGAATGAGGCACAGAGAGAGCATTCTGGTGAAATTCGTTTGTTTTGACCATTCTTGAAGTTTGGCTTCCTGAGCAAAATTACTTTTTTAGAGGAATATAAAGAGTGCTCGTAGCATTATTCTTAATAGCCCCAAGGTGGAAACTACTCAAGCGGCATCACAGTAATGGGGATGAATGATTGTGGTCTATCATACAGTGCAGGACTGTCAGCTATGAGCAAACTGCAGTTACTCGATAGGGAGGAGTCTCACGAGCATACTGGTGAATGAAGGAAGCCAGACACACGAGAGTACATCCTGTGTACCTCCAGGCATGCAGAGCTCACCTCTGGGGAGTGGAAGGTGATGCTGCCCCTGGGCGGTGGGGCTGGAGGGACTTCTGGGCGCCCTCTGGGCCTCTCATTAGGCTCTGTCTCCTGCAGAATCCTCGAGCTGTAGCATACTCACATGCACGTTTTTGTGCTGAAAAAGAAAACATTTACATTGACAGATTAATTGATTATATTTTAACTTATTTTTAAAATAATATTTCAGAGTAATTGGCAGTGCCATACTCAAAATAATTTTGTAGACTATGAATTGAGAAAATGACTTATTTCTAATTGCTTTATTTTGTTAATTATTTTTTAGATATGAATTGAGAATTCGTTATTTGCCAAAAGGATTTCTAAACCAGTTTACTGAAGACAAGCCAACTCTGAATTTCTTCTATCAACAGGTACAGGAGGATGCTTTAATAACACTTTTTTTCTTTGTTTCTTTGAATCCTATTTATTTCATGGTTTTATTTTAGAATTAGATTAAACCTAACATTTGGGAGAATATAAATTTGTCACCGTAGGGCAGTGAGATTCTTATAATTAGTAAGAAATTATGAATTGTTGACACTGAATTTTTGTATGCTTGGGCAAATCTTAAAAGATACTTCTTTTAAGTAGAGACAGGAAGTCCTAAGTGACACAACCATTGTTCTGTCTTTAATTCAAGTGTAATTATGCCTGAATATCAACAAATTTGTCAGATGTTTATTCAGAGCCAACTATACCCGTATAATCTCAATAGCACTTTGCACAACAAAGCAGAATTGACTTTTTTACACTAAAAGGAGCTTTCTTTTTACCCCGTATTAGTTACACAATAAATACTTGTGGCATAAATGAACCAAAACAGTTTTCCAGTCAAATAAATGTTACTTGTAAGTACTTGTGAAGAGTTCAAAAAAAGTTTAATGAATATCAGTGAGACATTTGTACATACAATTTTGCAATTAAATACTCTGGGAAATTTTTTATTTTAATAAAATTATTCATTAAATGTCTATTTGGGGTCAAGAATGCAGAAATTAATGACATAATCTGTACTTCTAAATTCCTCAGTCTAGTGGATTGCCTGTAAACAGCATCTTTGTGTTCAATCCTGTGCTGTTTGTAAGCGCAAATGGTGTGGCCGTGCCTGGGCGGAGGTGCTAACACAGGGGAGGTTTGGGGTCCAGGCAGCTCCCCTGCAAACTGTCCTTTAACGCAGCGGTCCCCAACATTGTTGGCACCAGGGACCGGTTTCGTGGAGGACAGTTTTTCCATGGAGTGGGGAGGCTGATAGTTCAGGCGGTGATGTGAGGGATGGGGAGCGATGGGGAGCGGCAGGTGAAGCTTCGCGCCCTCCCGCGCTCACCTTCTGCTGTGCGGCCCAGTTCCTAACAGGCCGTGGGCCGGTACCAGTCCACGGCCTGGGGGTTGCGGACCTTTGCTTTAAGGAGTCTCCAACTTTGTAGGTGAGGAAGAGAGGTACTTTAGAAAACATGGTGCATTTAAATCTGAGCTAAAATGATTTGAAAGGAAACAGGTGAGAGAGATGGGACCACATGATGTAAAGAGAGGGTTTTAGGTTTTCTCCTGCAGATAATTGGGAGCATTTATAGAATTTAATTAGCAAATGTCGTGATCAGAATTTTTTTTTTTAAATAAGACCACCCTGATGTAATGGCTGTACCAGGGATGGATTGGGTCTTAAAAAGGCTGTAACCTAGTGGGGGCTTGTCACCCATTTGGGCAGGAAGCTAGAAAGCTGGGAGGTCCAACGGTGTGGTAGGAAGCAAATTTAATGGATGGATTTGCTAGGACTAGAGACTGAACGAACTGGAGCATGAAAATGAAGAAGAAAGAGGCCGACGGCGTCAACCCTGTCACTCAGTGTCAGGAAGGAGAAAAGGTGGGTGGGATTCGGTAGGAGGGCAAGGTAGATGGTTTAGTAGATGGGTGGTTTAGTAGGTGGGTGGGATTCAGTAGGAGGGCAAGGTAGATGAGGTAAGTGGATATTCCTGCTTTTAAGATCCAACCTGTGAGAGCAGCATCCAGCTCTTGAGATGTTTTCTTGTCCGTGAAGTAGAAGTCATATAGGAAATGTAAGGTGTTAGGTGAGGTACTTGTGGGAACTTTTGAAGATTTATAATAATACGGAGTCGAATGGGAGAGGGAGTTGCGTTCAACGAAGCAGAGTCCTGTTTGGACTCCAGCTGAGCATGTGTGAGGCCTACTCATTACGGAGCGGTTTCAGTTTACAGGCTGCCTCTCTTCTGCGTCCCTGCGTCTGGCCCTCTAGCCGTCTGCCCAGCTTCATATTTTGGTGAAGGAGGTGACAGAGTTTAGTTAACGGATGTATTTATATTGTATTCTTCTCTCTCGTAGATGATCTATATCACTGGTATCTATATCTATATCCGTGACTCCTTTAGTGACATTGATTTCCAGGATGCATGAGACGGGCCTAAATAGCTCTCAGTTATTCCTTTTTATAATTTCTAGGCTAACCTAAAAGTTGGCAACTTTTATGTTCCTTTCACGCTGTTACTAGGTTGTCCTACTTTTTCCTTTCGGAAGACCTTGCTTCTGTGTATATGATTAAAAGCTAGCACACGTACCGGTGTATCCCACATTTCCTCTTACTAATAGGACGTATCTTACTGCAGTCTGTGATTCGGGTGAGTGGCCTCTGTAAAGCCCGAGAGGTGTGAGGTGTCGTTAGCCCGCATACTGTGCCTGTTCTGCATCTCACAGCTCTGTGACTCCAGGTGCCTCCCTTAGTTTCTTCACATGTAGGTATATAACACCTCCTGCGTAGGGTCTTTATGTTGATTAAGTGAGGTCTTAAGTGATTGTCTACCATATACCTGCCCAGTAACACCTGGAATTTCAGTCTGTACACAGTGCCAGGCTTTAGAGGATTCAGCGTTTCCACTTGGGTGTCCCAATACAAATGTGAGCCGCACACTGTGGGGTGGGACACACCTCTTCCTTCCCATGTGCTCTGTATGCAAACCTTCCAGCCCCTCCACCCCACCTTCTGCTTTCATCCATTTCTAGAACTTCTCTTCTTCAGCCTGTCCCCTTTTAAATTTTTTAAAATTGTTAAATCTTATGTTACAGTTTTAGAAAGTCCAGAAAATATTCTAAAACGTCACTTAAATTATCTGTCCTGATAATTACTTTCATTTTGTGTATGCTTTTATAATATCCTACCAAGTACTTGTAATTTAAGGGAACTAGAAGTGTGGTCATAGCAACACCTCTTTCCCGTGTTGACGGCTGGTGTTACTGCTTATCCAGGCTTATAACCAGTGAACTGCGGCTCTGTTCGTGGGTATGGAAGTTGTGATGTTAAATGCTACTGTTTAAAACAGGCCATATAAAAAATAAAGCGTGTAATATAGTTCCATTTATGTGAGAAAAATGTACATTTATTTTACCCTCATCTGACAAAGTTTTAGAAATAGTATGATTTTTGCATTGCTGCTTTGGCAAGTAATTTTATATTTATTTGACTTCTTGTGATAATCTTTCAGTGCGGAGTCTATCCTGGTCTGTGCATGGAAGTTCTAGAACTAGAATTTCTTTCTTTCTAGAACTATTAAAGGTGATCCAAACGTTATCCTACCCAGGCAGTACCCAACTTGGGAACAGATTTAATTTCAGTGTTGAAAAATCAGTTAGGAATTCAGAACTTCCTCCTATTTAAACAAACATGCCAAAAAAAAAAAAGTATAAATAAAAAATTGGCCCTTCAGCTATTTATAGCCAAAGTCTTTTGAACTGAGAATGCAGCTGAAATATCTGTAAGAACTTGTGTGTGGAAATTTTCACCAAATTCTGAGAGAAATTATTTTATACGGGCCTCAGAATTTGATGACACCCATTATTTAATTTGAAAGTTATTTAATTTTTGATGCAAATATGTTAAGATGCATACACATATGCTGCACACATCTGATTTCACTGAATTCCAAGCTAAATTGATCCACTTTTAAGGGGCTCAGGTTTTGATGACATGTTTAGATTCTGTAACATCTGATACATGTGTTCTTTAGTAAGGTGTGATAATAATATAATGAATACCTCTGACCCCACTGCCTAGAGGAAGAGAACATGCCTGATGTTTCCTGGTCCCATGTCCCCTTGACACCCCCCCATCCCAACCCCTTCACTCCAGGCAGACAGCCATGGTCCTGAATTGTGTATTTATCATTCTCTTACTTTTGTTTGCTGGTTGTCACATTTTACAGCATACGTGTGCACATCTCAATTCTGGCCTTAGGATAGAAGCTGACTCTAGCTCTCCTCTGAGCCCTCTGCATTCCATCATTAGTCTGAGTAGGTTTTTTGGTTTGGTTTTGTTTGTTTGTTATTCAGCTCATAGAAGCTTTTCAGAAGACTTTAAAAAATATTTTATTCAGCATTTTTAGTTGTTTTCAATGAGCTCTGTGGCCAGGACATTGGGTCCACTATGTTGGTAGAAATGGAAGTGATCACATAGGGCTTTAAAATTTTATCCCTTTTGGTTCATTTCCACACTAATTTGCACTGTGATTAGAGACTGTGGTTCATTTGAACTCGTTGTTCAGACTCTTTGGACTTGTTTCATCGTCTTGCATGTTGAGATTTTGCCAGGGGTTCAGCTTTGCTTGAGTGAACGTGTCTCCTCTGGCTGTGCAGTGAGCTCTGTAGATAGCCATCAGTTTGAGATTGTTCATTGTGCTGTTCGCGGCTCCTGCGTCTCTATTCTATCTTCCTGCTTGAAGGATGGGGTTGCTGGGAGAACTGCGGTTCTGGTTCAGAACCACATGGGAGTCGTTCTCCCTCAGAACTTCTGTGGTATTCTCTGCTGTGTATGATCCCTGTGGCTGCCGTTGAGAAATAGCTGTCGTAGTCTATTCATCTGTCTCCTCGTGGCTGCCGTTGAGAAATAGCTGTCGTAGTCTATTCATCTGTCTCCTCTCTCTGGGTGGCTTTAAGATCCTTACTTGTCCTCAGTGTTTTGCAGTTTTATTACAAACTAGGTGGGATTCCCACTTATTTTTCCTGCTTGATCTGTGTTGTGTGGCCAGGACCTCTGGGTTCCTGTCATTTTAATCGGTGCTGGAGATGTCTTCGTTGGCGTCTGCTCAGATACTGCCTTTTCTTCCTTCTTAGTTATTCCTCCTGAGATTTCAGTTGAGATCTCCATCAGAACTTCTCAGACTGTATCTATTGACGCCTCTTTTTTGTTCTCAACTCCTGTCTCCCTGAGATCTGGATTCACATAAATCTTTCAGATCACCAACCCTCCTCAGCTGTGGCCAATTTGATATCTAGTGCATTTGTTGGATTTTTATTTATTTTTCAAGTTTTATCTCTCCCCCCACCCCGCGTTCTTCAGTCTGTCAGGCCATCTTTTGTGGCCCTTATT